TGCAGGTTTCACCGAGTAAGCTTAACCACACTAATCAATGAAATTTAATTTTGTACTTTTTCTTGCTCATAATTATGAAATTTCTTTCTCTATTTTTTTTAGTGAATAATTTTCCTAATTTCTATATATATTTTTTATCTTCCTGTACAGAAGTCTTCAAGACCGCAAGCTCAAAGACTTTTAAGTAAGTTTTATTTTTCATTTACTCCACTGATAACCGCTCTTAGATGGAGGAGGCGTATGCAGCACTGTATCAGGAGTTTGTCCGTCTCCAGTCACTCTGCTTAAAACAAGCAGCAATAATACAACATCTCTCTGACACAATACAACGACAACAAGGTCAGAAGAATCTTGCAAATAAAATACTACTAATTACTTCACATGATTGAATACGCTGTGATATGTGATATATTAATGTTCACTTTCAGGTTTGGCCACGGCTCCAACTAGGAACTTTGAAAAGCCGTGTCAGTGCACAGAGGAAAAGTCAGGACACCGAGCCCATGCTGCAGAACGCCATGAGCAAGAACCTCTAAGAGATCCCAATGGACCACACATACTGGGCTCTCAAAGTAGAGTATTCTCCCTGTATCTGTTGAAATGTTCACTTTAGAAATTCTCCCATTGACTGAAGGCCCATTTACACCAAGGACGATAACTATAACTATCCACCTTCTTCCTCACGTAAAAATTCTATGGGTCTTGCTTCCGGTCTCATTTGCTTCCAGCTATTTTTAGCTGTACAAAACCACTGGTTTTGCTGCTTGATACTGCAAATTGGTGCGTCTTACCATATTATTTTAGTGTATTATCTTAATTATGAACACACTGGTTTGTACAGTTTTACCATTTACTGCACTTCGTTATTCTTCTCGTTATTTCCCTGTAGCGGCTAACGAACCAGAAGTCTCGCCCATTGGCCTACTTCCACGTTTAAGAATAAAAGGTGGATATAGTTTAAAAAATCATTCTAAATTTAAAAGAATAGCAAATTCCACACTACAAGTATAGCAATAACAGCACAGAGGAACAATATCGTCGGAATAACTACCAGAATGATTTTGTTTCCAGTTTATAAGCAATAAAAAAGTTGACAGCCAATCAGAATCCATCCCACTTAGCTCAAGCATTTAAAGACAGCAGAACTGCAGTGTGTGCTTATAATAAACAGTGTTATTGTGCAAAGGTATGGATGCTAATATAGTTATCGTTATAGCCCAGCCAACAATGACCTGTCAGTCAGCCAGAATTTTTTGCAACTTGCTGGGCCTCCATCAGTACACCAGTGGCACGCAGTGTTGGGAAGATTACTTTTAAAAGCAATAAGTTGCAGATTATAAGTTACCCTATTTAAAATGTAATAAGTAGTGTAATTATTTCAATTACTTTATTAAAGTAATGTAACTGATTACTTTTCAAAATGTAAATTTCTAATTTTTTTCTTAATTTTTTCTAAACTGTTAATCATTTTCAAACATTTAAAGCAAATTAAAAACAGTTCATTAAAAAAATAAAGCATATACATAAACCCAAATAGGAAATAAAACAGTTATCAAATAGACACGTGCCCTATTCTTTGTCCTAAACTCCAGAAACATTGGCGTCTCATTTTAGAGCACTCAATGCAATTTTGGAATCAATCAAATCGGCGAGTGTGTGAAAATATTCAGATGTAACCCCCTTTATAATTGTTAACATTTTCATAAGTAACTGTAATTTAATCAAATTTTTTATCAGTAACTGTAACAGATTACAGTTACATTTATTTTGTAATTAAATTACATAACTGTTACATGTAACTAGTTACTCCTCAACACTGGTGGCAAGCAGATAGTCGGTCCAGTTATCTTTATAGTAGGCCTTAATAGACTAATATCATTTTTCCATTCAAAATCAAACTTTCTCACTTTTGTCTGCAATTCGGAGTCCTCAAGCGTCAAATCAAGGTTTCTGCTATGCATTCCTGTATGTTTTTCAGCTGATAATGATCTCAGTCATATTGATAGAGGACTAGACAAACTGCATCTTAACCTGGACATGCCAGATCAGAAACAGGAGAACCACGATAAAGCAGTTTTCCACTATCCGGTAAAGACGGCAGAAAACAGTGCCTGGGATGACCTGAGGAGAGTTGAGCAACATTATTATGCTAACCAGACTTCACAAAGGCTGCGGGTTCGTATCACACCTGTGTTTAGTTAGCGTTGATTCCTTTAAGCTCCCCACTTGAAAGACAACATTCGTTGTGTCTAGTCCTGCTTCTGATCACACCTCCTGCACATCTTACACAATATAAGCAAACTCCTGAACATCTGACATGTGTGAGAAGGCTGTTTCTCTGTCCCGCAGAGGCCCTGGTCATCCTCGTTTCTGGACAGTGAGCTGGTCAGTCAAGCCGGAGGGCTGTTCTTGTCTGGAGTCACGCTGCAGTCGCAGGTGTGTGAGTTCTGTCACGCTGTGTTTCCTGGACACACAAGCACCCGCGGAGAGTTTCTGCGTCACCTCACTACACACATTACCTGAAGGAAAGCAATGCTGGGAATCAAATTCATCAAAAAATGAAGATGAGATGATAAGTGAACACACTGATAATGCCAGTAATGGACTGTCATATGTTTGATTTTGAAACTATTGGAGGTTTGGTCAGTGATTTTTTTTTTTATTAAATTACACGACGTTGTACTGCAAGTACTTAATATGATAAAGTGAGAAAAACAACAAAAAAATGTTATGCATGCACATATTTGTTGTTTCATTTTATCATGTTATGATTCTTCACCTAGTTTGATCTTGTAATTATTTGGTTCCATCACTAAAAGTGTCTGTTTTGTACCAGTAGAAATGGTATATATCATTATTTTTAGAAAAAATAAGTTTTTACCCAAATGCTGAATTTTCACTACCATAAAACACAAGATACGAGTATAGTGCTGTCTAGGAATTAAATCGTAAATACACAAGAAAATGTTACACTGTAATCAATGGATCATACCAACTGGTAGCATGAATGCTGTAAAGCCTCATTAGTTTATCAGTGGTTATGTTTAAATGAACACCAGTGCTATGATAATGGACAGCAAGGCATCGGCGGATTAAAGGGATAGTTTACCCAAAAATTCTGTCATTAGTTACACACTCATGTCGTTCTAAACCCATAAACGTTTTGTGCACAAAAGAAAAAAAATAACGACGTTATTCAACAATGTCATGGATACGCTGTTTACGCTTTGATTTGAATGAAAACAGCGTATACGCATGACGCAGCTGACACAAAACAGCATACGCAATTTACGTTCAATGGATACTTTCCAAAATGGCGCTAGGGTGACACGGAGGAGACGAATTGTTGAATAAAGTCTTCTTTTTTTTTTTGCGCACAAAAAGTATTCTAGTAGCTTTGTAAAATTACGGTTGAACCCCTGATGTCACATGGATTATTTTACTGATGTCCTTGCTATGTTTCTGTCCGTTGATCGTGGTAATATCCTTGCTGTCTATTGGAGGGTCAGAGAGCTTTCAGATTTCATCAAAAATATCTTAATTTGTGTTCCGAAGATGAACGGAGGTCTTACGCGTTTAGAACGACATGAGGGTGAGTAATTAATGACAGAATTTTCATTTTTGGGTGAACTAACCCTTTAAGACATTTTTACATGACATGGGCAAATCTCTTTAGTCTTGTTTACATCCTACTTAGTTACTTTTTAGTGTTCACCAAAAAAAAAAAAAAAAAAAAGGGACCTGTGGTTTGTTGCCTTGAAAAAGGCAACCTTCAAGGCACTCCAGTACACAAGGACATGCTCTTACACAACACAGTTTCTTGAACAAGCTAGCCTAAAGGGATAGTTCACTCAAAAATCTGTTGTTCAAACCTGTATGATTACATTTTTTTGCAAAAAATTTCACAGAATAAAGAAATATAGAGTCCCACAGTTTTTGAATGACATGATCTTTGGTTCATTTTTGGTTATCCTTTTAATTATAGGCCTTTACAAGCATATTACTCAAATTAAATCAATTTATTGATTAGCGATTACCTGATTGAGTAAATTTGCCACCAGTGGCACCAAACAGACAACTGAAACAATAACTACATTTTTTTTTTTTTACTTTTTCCCCGAACACTTCCCCATCTGTGAGATTGACGATGATGATGGCAGGGTAGGGCAAGTGAATCACAGTTGGTTTGTTGAGATGAGACTAGGGTGAGTGTGGGCGGTGGAACCGTGTGTCAGAATTGAGACAGAAACATCAAAATTGTCCATACATTTTCATGTACAATACAGTAAGTACCTTAAACAAGAGCAATGGATGAATAAAAGTTGTTGTTGTAATACACAAAGTTTCTATTTTTACACTGTTAGCAAAATAAAAGTAACAATCTAGAGAAATAAACATGAGAAACCTTACAATATAATTTATTGAGCAATTGAAAAATAAATAATCTGTCATTGAAGAGGCCACAGATCTATTTCTAACATTGGCGCTGCAATGCACAATTCTTACTTACAATTTCCCACCCATGATTCATTTGAATCGTTTACATTTTGTATGAAAACTCATGTGCATTTAGAGTTGATATATTCATATTTACTGCATCATGTTACTAGTGTAAGGGTTCTTAATATATTCAATTTCAGGATTTCACATGTTAATATGATCCAAAACTTGTAAACGTAAACATGTTTTGCTCGCTGTACATAAAGTGTTTGAGCAGTTTGCTTATTCTAGCATTGTGATTGGTTGGATTAAATAAACATGTTCCTCCCAAACTTTTGTTAGAAAAACTTTGCAAGAAACTGAGAAATTGGAAGGAGACCTAAATCCCAGCGTCTCACAGCTCCGCTTAGAACGAGAAGCATTTCATCTATCCTAATAAATTATGCAATTTCATTCTAGAATTTGCTTGACACAATATTAGCACCATTGAAGCTTTTTACTGACATTATAACCTGACAGAGAATATGTAATGTATTTGTAACACTTGTTGCTTGCACTAAGCTGTATGTGCTTCAAATTTCATTTGCAAAGACACAATAACTTTCCGTCAAATGTCTTTAAATGTTCTGACAGAACATGATAAGGTGCATACAAGTTTTATAGAACAGGACTATTCAACATAGCGAACTGAACACCACGGCTGCATTTAGACATGATATCCAACCTGAGTTCAGCATGGAGACTTGCAGATTGTCAGTTATGGATCGTCTTTGGTGTTTGCTGGACTGCTGCTTCTGTTACTCGATCCTCTCCTCTCTGACACTTTCTCCTCCATCTCTATAAGAATATAAACAAAGTTTTTGGATTTTAAATATGATAATGAGTTTTTTTTTTTTTTTTTATAATAAAGAGTGTCAAGAACACAGTAGATACTGCGGTGAATGGGTGCCGTCAGAATAAGAGTCCAAACAGCTGATAAAAACATCACAATAAAAAAAAAAGCTGCATGGGTCCCACTTTATATTAGGTGGCCTTAACTATGTACTTACATCAAAAAATAAGTACAGTGTACTTATTGTGTTCATATTGTATTGCAAAACACTTTTGCTGCTATTGAGGTGGGATACGGTTAAGGTTTGGGACAGGTTTGGTGGTATGGGTTGGTTTAAGGGTGGGTTAGGTGTAAGGGATGGGTCAACAGTGTAATTATAAATGTAATAACAGTAATTAATTACAGATGTAATTACATAGGTATTTTTAAAAATATAAGTACAATGTAAAACCATGTATGTACACAATAAGTGCATTGTACCAAATGATTAATTTAAATGTAAGTACATAGTAGTTAAGGCCACTTAATATAAAGTGGGACCGCTGCATGTTTGTAAGAAACAGATTCATCAGACATTTTTTATTAAAACCATCGATGCCAGCTAAAATAAATAGCAACGTTTACAAAAGAAAACAGTCCAAAATAGTCCTAAACAAATAAGTTGGTGGATTTTGATGTGAAAAAGGGCATGGACAAGTTATGGCCTGATATTTATGGATTATGGACTCATATTTTAACCAGAAACGATGGTTTAAAGTTAAAACGTCCTAATAATGGATTTGTTTTAACTTTTCACTTCACAACCTGTTAATGATGGACTGGACTGGTGTGGATTATTGTGATGTTTTTATCAGCTGTTTGGACTCTCATTCTGACGGCACCCATTCACTGCAGAGGATCCATTGCTGAGCAATTTTTTCTCAAAAATTTGTTCTTATGAAGAAACAAACTCATCTACATCTTGGATGGCCTGAGGGCGAACTATTCCTCTAAATATGTTCTGCTCATTAATGCACAGAGTTATCAAGAGACTAGAATTTGGAACTGGGAGAATCAGCATTTGCATCATTGGGTTTCCCTCTGCATTTCTACTTGTGCTATTATTGAACATCACAATTCCCACACTTCGGCAGACATTAATAATACATTACAGTAATGCAATAATACAAAAACTTGTATTATTATGTGAAGGCAGAACAATGCTGAGGAATGACTGTGCAACTGCAGAATGACTGACAGCGCAATGAAATGAGGAACTTGCATTTTCGCTTGAGACAAGAGACAACACAAAAAAAATTCAAAGAATGACTGATTAAAGCAAATTTTTGGCCATTCCACTGAACTGAAGCACTAGTGTTTGCTCATTAAGATAGAGAGAGAGAGAGAGCGGTTGCATCCTTTCACTGCCCACATGGTTTATTTTTACTCTGTCTCTCTGAGTCAAAGCGACGCCCTTCTCACTCCCTCCTACTCATTCACCCCTCTTTCTCTCCATCCATCCATCCGCCCTCCTCTCACACATTTTCATAAGCTTTGACGTCAGACAGGGAAGGGGGGCTCCAATTTATCACCCACACAGCACTTCCTGTGGCCCCCACCACCCATACGCGTTTTCTCTTATCATTTCTCTTTTATTCTGCGGTCCCCAATGACGACGTCAGACTGAGATGTTTGCCTCTGAAAGAGCTTCTCGAATCTGATGATCTCGGAATCATTCCATCCTTAAAGACTAGCTAGATTAGCTAACCAGATAAGTAAAATAAATCAGTTTGTCACTGTTCTTATATATTCCTCAGAGACAATTCAAGGTGCAAATAATGGCTTAAAAAACTTAAATAGCCAAGCTTGTTGTCAGTTCTGACATTGCATTTTGTACTGTATGTAACTAAGCAGCAAAAATACACACTTCTTATAAATTATACAGAAAAAAAGGGTTACAATTTATTTTAAGGTGTCCTTGTTAGTGTAACTATACATTTAAGTACTGAGTAATATTAATTAACTACATGTACTTAATATATGGTTAGGGTTAGGATTAGGGTTTGGTTTAGAGTTACTTGCATGTAATTATGCATAATTTATTGTTATTATAATAGTAAGTACATGTGTAACAAGGACACCTTAAAATAAAGTGTTACCGAAAAAAGTTACACTTTATTTAAAGGTGACGTTGTTATAGTGTAATTACACAAATACGTGCAGAGTAATATTACTAAATTATTTGGGTTAAGGTTTAGTTTAGGGTTAGTTACATGTAATTATGCATAATTTCCTGCCATTACCATAGTAAGTACATGTAACGTGTAATTAAGTTACCTTAAAATAAAGTGTTACAGAAAAAATTTCCTCATGTTGATGAACAAAATCTGAAGGTAAGCCTCTCTTTTTACTGACCCTAAGTTTACAAAGGGGAAGTAAATCCAAACTCGGTCTTGTTCCCTATTTGTGGTAGGTGCATGACAAGTGTGTGTCTTATAAAACATCTAGTATTCACCTGAAATCTGTCTCTTTTCTGACCCTAGGCTGACTTTGCTTGCGTGGTCACGTAACACCATTCTAGCCAATCTGAGGCCCTCATCCATGAGAGTTTGTTGCATGAGCTGGCGACTCCAGTTGATGAGGCCAGTGGTGTCGGTGAGGGGGTGAGGGGATGAGGTGGGGTGCAACTGAGGGCTGATATCTATCAAGACACACAGAATTAGACAAACATATGCCTCTCAATCAAATGTTATGGTTTCTTTCAGTAATTATGTTTTTCCCTGACATGAGCATGAATGGACACAAATTTGCTTTGTTATCTTCTATGCTTGATATTTACATCATCTCACTTCGATCACTTTTTGCGTGTGAGGTGATCCTTCATGGCTGTGATGACCATTATGACATTTGCAATAAATGCAACATAGAATGTGGGACAATGATGGTTACATGCCTAAGATTTACTGACATACACCGGACAGTCATAATAAATATATCAATGTTTAAAATAAAAATAAGGAATCTTACCTTGTGTTAAACTATCTAGACTTTCTCCAGAGAGGCTGTTGTCATCCGCTGTAGATCTGTTGTCACTGTTGGCTACTGGATCCTTAGACAGTCTGTCAGAATCTGTGACCTGAAAGAAGCAGTACTTCGTTTTGTCACTAGTAGTTGGCTTGTTACACTATAATTACAGATATGAGTGCAATAGTACTACAAAAGGAGTTCACAACTTGACATCCAATGTAAGTTCCAGTGTAACTCTTAATCCATCGATTTACATCTTTATTTTAATCCTATAAGGGAACCTGGCTGAACTCAAGACTTTTTCTATGTACACAAAAGGCCTATTTCTCTCAAATATTGTTCACAAATCTGTCTAAATCTGTGTATCTGTGTTCTGATGATCTCGGAATCATTCCATCCTTAAAGACTAGCTAGATTAGCTAACCAGATAAGTAAAATAAATCAGTTTGTCACTGTTCTTATATATTCCTCAGAGACAATTCAAGGTGCAAATAATGGCTTAAAAAACTTAAATAGCCAAGCTTGTTGTCAGTTCTGACATTGCATTTTGTACTGTATGTAACTAAGCAGCAAAAATACACACTTCTTATAAATTATACAGAAAAAAAGGGTTACAATTTATTTTAAGGTGTCCTTGTTAGTGTAACTATACATTTAAGTACTGAGTAATATTAATTAACTACATGTACTTAATATATGGTTAGGGTTAGGATTAGGGTTTGGTTTAGAGTTACTTGCATGTAATTATGCATAATTTATTGTTATTATAATAGTAAGTACATGTGTAACAAGGACACCTTAAAATAAAGTGTTACCGAAAAAAGTTACACTTTATTTAAAGGTGACGTTGTTATAGTGTAATTACACAAATACGTGCAGAGTAATATTACTAAATTATTTGGGTTAAGGTTTAGTTTAGGGTTAGTTACATGTAATTATGCATAATTTCCTGCCATTACCATAGTAAGTACATGTAACGTGTAATTAAGTTACCTTAAAATAAAGTGTTACAGAAAAAATTTCCTCATGTTGATGAACAAAATCTGAAGGTAAGCCTCTCTTTTTACTGACCCTAAGTTTAAAACTGGGAAGTAAATCCAAACGGTCTTGTACCCTGTTTGTAGCAGGTGCATGAGAAGCGTGGAGGTTATTGAACATGACAGAATTCTAGTATTCACCTGAAATCTGTCTCTTTTCTGACCCTAGGCTGACTTTGCTTGCGTGGTCACGTAACACCATTCTAGCCAATCTGAGGCCCTCATCCATGAGAGTTTGTTGCATGAGCTGGCGACTCCAGTTGATGAGGCCAGTGGTGTCGGTGAGGGGGTGAGGGGATGAGGTGGGGTGCAACTGAGGGCTGATATCTATCAAGACACACAGAATTAGACAAACATATGCCTCTCAATCAAATGTTATGGTTTCTTTCAGTAATTATGTTTTCCCTGACATGAGCATGAATGGACACAAATTTGCTTTGTTATCTTCTATGCTTGATATTTACATCATCTCACTTCGATCACTTTTTGCGTGTGAGGTGATCCTTCATGGCTGTGATGACCATTATGACATTTGCAATAAATGCAACATAGAATGTGGGACAATGATGGTTACAAGATTTACTGACACACACTGGGCATTCATAAATGTATCAATGTTTAAAATAAAAGCAATGAAAATAAGGATTCTTACCTTGTGTTAAACTATCTAGACTTTCTCCAGAGAGGCTGTTGTCATCCGCTGTAGATCTGTTGTCACTGTTGGCTACTGGATCCTTAGACAGTCTGTCAGAATCTGTGACCTGAAAGAAGCAGTACTTCGTTTTGTCACTAGTAGTTGGCTTGTTACACTATAATTACAGATATGAGTGCAATAGTACTACAAAAGGAGTTCACAACTTGACATCCAATGTAAGTTCCAGTGTAACTCTTAATCCATCGATTTACATCTTTATTTTAATCCTATAAGGGAACCTGTTCATCTTCTTGTCATTTTTGTAGCTACACTGAACAAAAATTATAAACGCAACACTTTTGTTTTTGCCCCCATTTTTCATGAGCTGAACTCAAAGATCTAAGACTTTTTCTATGTACACAAAAGGCCTATTTCTCTCAAATATTGTTCACAAATCTGTCTAAATCTGTGTTAGTGAGCACTTCTTCTTTGCCGAGATAATCCATCTACCTCACAGGTGTGGCATATCAAGATGCTGATTAGACAGCATGATTATTGCACAGATTATTGCACTAAGTTTATAGAAAAAGTCTTAGAACTTTGAGTTCAGCTCATGAAAAATGGGGGCAAAAACAAGTGTTGCATTTATAATTTTGTTCAGTATATATAGTCATGTCGCTATTAAGAAAGTGTAAGCATCTGCCCAAACTTCACCTGAGCATATTCCTGTCAAAGTCCTGTTATACAGATGTATATATAGATACATATCTTGATGTACTTACATCAAGCTTGATTCTCTTCTGAGCAGAACAGTCAACAGAGGCAGTACAATCATCTGAGTATGGCCTGAGATGATAATACAACAAACCCAGCTCAAATATGTTTACTTGTAAAAATAAGTCACAGTATTGAAGTATTGAAGGGCAAATATAGAAAACGACACACAAGAGGCGGCAAGGCTAGCTTTCACACAGGTATTTGTGAAAATGCCTATATCTCAGCAACTTCAAGGATTTAAGTGAAATGTCCAATTGCCCAAATGTGTTTCTCCATTTATTTGACATTTTCTTATAAATGCAGCACATCTGTTACCAGGCATAAATGTCTGGTCTCACAAACAAGAACCTTGGTCCACTACTACCTCCAATAAATTCTTCTCTACACAAGCGCCTTGGACCAGTTTTCTTTTCTTTTCTTTTTTGTCTTGATTACATTGAAGATTCTGCTCAGCTAAAAGTCTAACACACTGGTTTTGAATGTAATACATAATCAATAATTTTTTATAAATTCTGTCGTCCAAACTAAAATTCCACTATCATTATATATGTGACCCTGGAGCACAAAACCAGTCTCAAGTTGCTGGGGTATGTTTGTAGCAATAGCAAAAAATACATTGTATGGGTCAAAATGATTGATTTTTCTTTTATGTCAAAAATCATTAGGATATTAAGTAAAGATCATGTTCCATGAGGATATTTTGTAAATTTCCAACTGTAAATATATAAAAACTTAATTTTTGATTCGTAATATGTATGGCTAAGAACTTAATTTGGACAACATTAAAGGCATTTAAAAGGACTACTTTTTTTTGCACCCTCAGATTCCATATTTTCAAATAGTTGTATCTCAGCCAAATATTGTCCTATTCTAACAACCCATACATCAATGGAAAGCTTATTTGTTCAGCTTTTGGATGATGTATAAATCTCAATTTCGAAAAATTTACCCTCATTACTGGTTTTGTGGTCCAGGGTCACATTTTTGCTTGAGCTCTTGAATAAACAGCTTGAACACAATAAAAGCAAAGAACTGTATGGTAAATGTCTGATCTTCAAATTTGAGGTCTCTTTCTCAAACAGTCTCACACCGCCAACAGTTCAAATTTTCACTTATATTTTTGATTATATCCTTTTAACCGAATGGTCAACAAACATAACTGATAGTTTTGTAATAGTCTCTCTACATGGACATATGGACATGGTGCTGATGACACACCAGGTTTCATCAGGATTCGCCAATGCATTGTGGTAAACTGAGCAGTCTCATTGCATGTCTTTGTCTGAAGCATACGGTAGCCGAGAAGTGCAAAACAAATCACAATTCTGAAAACAAAATAACAAATTACAAACGCAAACGCAAGTCTAAAAAACAAAATAACAATTCAGAAAGCACAACAACAATTCAGAAAACATTATAACAAGTCAGAAAACACAATGACAAATTCGAAAACAAAATAAGTCAGAAAACACAACGACAAATCAGACAAAGCGGAAGAGGTAGGTATAGTTTGAGACAGCACCATTGGTTTGGGATTACTCACCGCTGACTGGACGAGACATCTGTCAATCAACGTATACAGGAAAAACCAGCCGAAGAACAGCAGAGTCGTGGTAGAAAGTTCGGAGATGGTATTAAAGTAGCTCAGTTTAAATGTATTGTATGAATTGCCCTTACTCTGGAATAAAAAAAATACGGGGTGTCTATTTACATTTAGTTACAAGTGGCTGTAAATCATCAGCTCCAGTGGCGCAAATGGATAAGTCATGCACTTATCTTGGCTTTCTGATGCGATTGACCTGGGGTCGATCCCGTCTTTTGCCGAACTTTTTTCCCTCCCTTTTCAAATCTCGTATTAGCAATGGATTCTATTTACACTATGTGAAAATAGCAGACCCTGGTCGATCGCGTCAAAAAGCCAATGACACGCACTTAACCATCTGTGCCACGGAGAGCTGACGTTTTACAGCCACTTTTAACTAAATGTAAATATACACTCCGTATTTTTTATTCCATAGTAAGGGCAATTCATACAAGTCGTGCTAAAGAGAACAGTTCAACTCTGCGTAACAACAGAGCATTGTCACGAATGCAGAATTGAGCTGCAGCCTCATTGATGAGCATCTGAAAGTGGAAATATTAAAAATGAAACTGGATCATCTGAGCTCTATGAAACTCAAGGCATTTTGACTACTATAAAATGCATTAAACAACTCCTGTAATGTTTATAGTAGCCTAACTGGTATTTTAAAATTAGTATGTTGTCAAATATTACTGTGAAATCTAGTTCTAGTTCTGTAAAGTTCATCATAAAAAGGTCTTGTCAAAACACAAGCAAAGACTTGTGGGATAATAAAATAAATCCTCTGAAAATGAACTGGAGGAATTGCTGGATTCATCTAATCCAGTGCTGTTTTTTAAAGGTTTAAAAAATGGCCTGTAATCAAAAGATTGTAGAATCAAATCTTGCTTCCCTGCGCAAAAGTCATCGCCACAATGCTAAGATGTTATGGGTGGTTGCCATGCAAAGCAGTTGCTTAACTTTTCTGTGCGTTATGCAGTTGCTAGAGTGTTTTTTGAGTCGTTGCTTTGGGATGAAAATTGTCCCATTTCATTGTCTACTACAATAAAAATTATAAGTCTAATTGCTTATTAAAGTAATAGCTCACCTCTCCTTACTTTGAGTTGTGTGTACTGTAATACACAATGTCTACAGCAGGTTAGTTTAGTTTGGATTTAGCAAATTTCACTGTAGCGATACAGGATGATACTTTAGTTTAGTTGTGTGTTTATTACAGCTAAACTTGAGAAGAATTTTTTTTTTATATATATAAAATCAGTGCAAGTTGTTCAAAATGTTCTCTTTAACAGACCTCATGATGGGTGAGCTGTTTCCCTGCCCTCCTCTTGGAGTCAAAGCGGCCATGGCTCAGGCTGTATTTGCGAATCTCTTCCTCTTTGCTCTTGTCTTGATGTTCCAGGTGGAATATGTGTCCCACCGTCTTGGCCATTTTCTTATTGAGTCTCAAAAGTGTCTTCACCTCGGTTTGATCTGCTTGCGGCATGGTTCTTAGAAGCCTATCAACGCTTTCCTCCCCGGCTTTAATGGTCTCTGGGTCCAGCTGACCTCCGGGCCACGGAGAGGTCATAGTGGAGGAGGATGAGAACTGACATTAAAATAAATGCTCCATGAATAAGCTTAATTTAAAATGTCTGTTTAGTGGCAAACGGTGCTGATGTAATATGTTGTGGGTGTTGTTTTCTAATAAAGAGTATGTATTTATCCATAATAAATAAGTAAAAATAAATCAATAGTAAAAGAGAGGTAACAAATCTTTAAAAAAAACTTTTTTTAAACTATGAATGTATAACCATACAGGCCTATATCGTAATGCTTCTTTTTCTTTTGCGGTTTTATGAACTTTAAATCTTTAAATAATGAAACCAAACACAATGTGAAAGGTTTTTAAATGAGTAATAAATGAACTATTAGTATGGGATAATGTACAGTGAGCCAGTCAACTTGGATGCCCAACACAAAAATAACCCCTGAATGGTTTAATTTTTCTATAATGACCATATTGCCACATAAATAAATGGACAAGAAATATTGACTTCAAATAATGACTTCAAGTGATTGCATGATGTAAGAAGAAAGAGTGGAATGTTGACTCCTCTATTTCTTGTTGGGTTGCTAAAAGGGAGCTTCGGAGGAGTTGCAAATAAAGTGAGACAGGTAATGCAAAGCCGTTAATGTGTGCATAGCAGAAGCATAACTATGGTGAGAAAACTGCTGGGTCTGAATGGTTCTGAATATACTAACATTTTAGTTAATGTGAGGGTCCACCACCACCAAAATCACCATTTACTCAGCAACTGTACAAAACACTACATCAACACTGTACACTTCCTAAGGAATAAGTCACTCTTTGTATCCAGAACATCTTCAAGGCTGGTTCACACAGAACACATTGTTGTGTTTCACATCCAGTGGAACACAACAACAAGGAGGAATGGCAGAGGATCCCCAAATCCAGGTGTGAAAAACTTGTTGCATCTTCCCTAAAAAGACTCATGGCTGTATTAGATCAAAAGGGTGCTTCTACTAAATACTGAGCAAAGGGTCTGAATACTTAGGACCATGTGATATTTCAGTTTTTCTTTTTTAATAAATCTGCAAAAATGTCAACAATTCTGTGTTTTTCTGTCAATATGGGGTGCTGTGTGTACATTAATGAGGAAAAAAAATTTACTTAAATGATTTTTGCAAATGGCTGCAATATAACAGAGTGAAAAATTTAAGGGGGTCTGAATACTTTCCGTACCCACTGTATGTGTGTATATATATATACAGTATGTGAATGTATGTATTTATGTATACAGGGAATGTACATATGTATATATGAAGCTCTAATCAAGTAGATAAGAAAACATGATATCTTACAATAAAAACAATGGATAAATGTCAAACAGCTGACACATTTTGTGCACTGTTAGCTCTATTTTAGTTAATGACTGAATAATCATGAATACAGTTTTGATGATGATTGTGTCATTCACCTCACGGCTGCAGAGGTCTGCTCAGCAGCAATAGAAAGTGTTTCTATGAATAATAAATTACAGTAGTTTCTGAACTGACATTAAAATAAATGCTCCATGAATAAGCTTAATTTAAAATGTCTGTTTAGTGGCAAACGGTGCTGATGTAATATGTTGTGGGTGTTGTTTTCTAATAAAGAGTATGTATTTATCCATAATAAATAAGTAAAAATAAATCAATAGTAAAAGAGAGGTAACAAATCTTTAAAAAAAACTTTTTTTAAACTATGAATGTATAACCATACAGGCCTATATCGTAATGCTTCTTTTTCTTTTGCGGTTTTATGAACTTTAAATCTTTAAATAATGAAACCAAACACAATGTGAAAGGTTTTTAAATGAGTAATAAATGAACTATTAGTATGGGATAATGTACAGTGAGCCAGTCAACTTGGATGCCCAACACAAAAATAACCCCTGAATGGTTTAATTTTTCTATAATGACCATATTGCCACATAAATAAATGGACAAGAAATATTGACTTCAAATAATGACTTCAAGTGATTGCATGATGTAAGAAGAAAGAGTGGAATGTTGACTCCTCTATTTCTTGTTGGGTTGCTAAAAGGGAGCTTCGGAGGAGTTGCAAATAAAGTGAGACAGGTAATGCAAAGCCGTTAATGTGTGCATAGCAGAAGCATAACTATGGTGAGAAAACTGCTGGGTCTGAATGGTTCTGAATACACTAACATTTTAGTTAATGTGAGGGTCCACCACCACCAAAATCACCATTTACTCAGCAACTGTACAAAACACTACATCAACACTGTACACTTCCTAAGGAATAAGTCACTCTTTGTATCCAGAACATCTTCAAGGCTGGTTCACACAGAACACATTGTTGTGTTTCACATCCAGTGGAACACAACAACATGTTCTGAAAAAAAAGAAGTGTAACGTGTCTTGAGACCCTGCCTACTTTTCCATTCATCAGTGCTGTGTCTCTGCAGTTGGATACTATTGTGCAGTTTCACACATTTCAGCGAACAGTTCTTGAAAGAACCATTGTGTGCGTTAAGAACATTTTAGTAATCTAAACAACCTTGAAAGTACTGTTTGTGCTAAAGATTCTCTTGATGTTAAAGGTTCTTCATGGAACCATTAATGCCAGTAAAGAACCTTTGTTTTTAAAGATTCTTCTATGGCACTGCTGCAAAAACACCTTTTGGAACCTCTTTTTTAAAGACTGTATCCAAGAGCCAAGTTGAGGTGCAGTCAAATTTCTTCCTTCTGCAGTGTAATATGAAGCCTCTTAATCTGCAATAATGGTTGTTTACGCAACCTCACATTTCTTCCGCTCTCTCTCCTACAAAATAATAGCTGGAGACAGATTTGGCATGTGAAAGTTCCATCATTGCATCCTCCTTTAACTACATGAATATATAGTAATCTAAAAATCTAAAAGTTTCAAGTAGTCCCACAGAAAAAGAGAGAGAAAGAGATCTGTTTTAATAAAGCTTTATCAAATTAAATAAAAGCTTAATGTTTTATATGTGATCAGTGTTGGGAAGGTTACTTTGGAAATGTAATAGGTTACAGATTACAAGTTACCCTGTTTAAAATGTACTAAGTAGTGTAACTATTTCAATTACTTTATTAAAGTAATGTAACTGATTACATTTGATTACTTTTTGACTGCTTTTCTAAATTTCTAACGAATGTTTTCAAATGTTAATCATTTTGACAGATTTAAAGCAGGCAGGGTTAACCTTACAGTGGTACTCGACACTCATTACTGTCAGACTTTCAGAATCCTTCATCATTTGAATTAAGATTAGAATTTATTTTTTAAAGCATATCCACCACAAAAGCACCTCTTTTTACTTTGAGATCGTTCTGAGGTTAAAATACAGATTTAAAACCATAACAAGGAATAGTTTAATAGCTATGATACTGTTTTTGAAATCAAACCTTTGCATGACAGGAAACACATCTAACAGTTCATCTAAAAAAAAAGCATATACATAAACCCAAATAGGAAATAAAACTTTTATCATATAAACATGTCTTATTCTGTGTCCTAAACTCCTGAAACATTGGTGTCTCGTGTTTTAGAGCAGTCAATGCAATTTGGGAACGAAATCAATTAACTCTGTATGTGGGTGTGTGTTGTGTGTGTGAAAATATTCAGATGTAACCCCCTTTGTAATCATTAACATTTTCATAAGTAACTGTAATTTAATTACAATTTTTTTCTCAGTAACTGTAACTGATTACAGTTACATTTATTTAGTAATTAAATTACGTAATTCCGTTACATGTAACTAGTTACTCCCCAACACTGTATGTGACCCTGGACCACAAAACCAGTCATACAGGTCCAATTTTTTATTATTATTGAGATTTATACATCTGAAAGCTGAATAAATAAGCTTTCCATTGATGTATGGTTTGTTAGGATCGGACAATATTTGGCAGAGATACAACTATTTGAAAATCTGGAATCTGAGGGTGCAAAAAAGATTACAATATTGAGAAAATAGCCTTTAAAGTTGTCCAAATGAAGTTCTTAGCAATGCATATTACTAATCAAAAATTAAGTTTTGATATATTTACAGTAGGAAATTTACTAAATATCTTCATGGAACAAAATCTTTACTTAATATCCTATTGTGGCATAAAAGAAAAATCGATCCCCAGCGACTTATGACTGCTTTTGTGCTCCAGGGTCACTATTAGGCTACAAAAAACCTCTTAGCCCTAAAAGTTGCATGCCATGTATAAGCTACAGCAAAAACATTTTGTAGTCACAGTAGCTGTAGAATGTTTTATTTTTAAAACATCTTTCTCTGTATCTTTTTTTCAGCTTGCATATTTTAAAATTTCACAAATAATGAGCTAGTTTATCTACAAAATTCCCTTCATATGCTCATGAGTTGTTGTTGTTAAATATAACCCGCAGTAGTAGTTTCCCTCTGATCATTAATGAAGATAGAAGCTAATACGAGTCAGTAGTTGTGTAGGCTACTACAGTACTCACCTCGAGAGGTTTGAAGACAGAATCCAGGACAGGATCCAGCAGAACACTTCGGCTTCCAGTAACCAAACGACCGACTCTATCAGATTCTGCAACTCAACTCAGTATCAGTCAAACTTTTCCTTCTGTTGAAAGACTTGTATCTTTACGCCTCTGACGCGTAATTTATTTTTGTTTTCTGTGCTTGTTAGACCTTATTCTACAGATGTGAGATTGGACTCAAATGTTCTTGAAACTCTGGTGTTGTCTCGGCTATGCTCTGCTGTGCTGGCAGTAGCGGTGAGTTAATGACGCTCCTTTCTCTGCCTGTGTGGGCGCGAGAAACGCGTGGGCGGACTGCGGCACGCCATCTGACCGAATAAGAGCCTTCCTCTCCGGTCTGAGCGCCTCTCGCGTCAGGGTGTGGATGGAGATGTATGGTTTGTTAGGATCGGACAATATTTGGCAGAGATACAACTATTTGAAAATCTGGAATCTGAGGGTGCAAAAAAGATTACAATATTGAGAAAATAGCCTTTAAAGTTGTCCAAATGAAGTTCTTAGCAATGCATATTACTAATCAAAAATTAAGTTTTGATATATTTACAGTA